ACACAGGTGCAGAAGGAGTGCAGTGTGGGTCAGAAAGATAGTCCTGGAGACTCACTTTGCACAGGTGTAAGTGAGAACACAGAGTGTAGGACAGTGGAGAGGCAGGTCCACTCTGTTATCTCATTTTTCAGTTCTTCCTCCTGTAACAATGGCACTTGGCATTAGTCACCTCTCTGAATATATTCATCAAGGTCAATGCATTCCAGCATGTGGTTGATTACAGGGAAGTGTTCTGATGTTTCCATGATTAATATCTGGCATCAGTTCTTCAGGTTCAATCAGCCCAGCTTCATTATAGCATCTGGGGAAAGGGATGTTTTGTCAGACACCTCATAAAGGAACATGTTCCACTTCTTTTGATAAGGCCTCAGTCAACTTCTTAACAATGCAGGAGTATAAATTCTTAGTGGTACTTCAACCTATTATAAGCAGTTATTTTCAGAGGTGCTGAGCACTCACAACTCTAGGTCATGTCAACAGGAAGTGTGAGTGTTCAGCACCTTTGAAAATCAGGCCCTAAAGAAGTAATGTGACTTAAGAGTCCTTTTGTGTTTCCCATCCTGCTTAACATGTTCAGCAGGGCTATTCTAGAACAGCAGGAAATGGCTTTCAGTTAGATGTCATGTTCAGTGTCTGATAGACTTATGCTGTGGCAATTCCTGAGCTATTAGCTCAGTCACCTAGAAGAACTGAGCTAGAAAATGCCCTGCAGATTGGAATAAACCCTTGTGGACAGATGCTAATTAACTAGCAGTATTAGCTTTAAACCTTCTTTGAGTTATGCTGCTCACAGTTACTTTTAGCTATGCCAGTGGTGTTTTTTCCCCCCTGTGAGTCAGGCAAATCTATAGCAATGCTAGTGGCATCCAGCTCAGATTAGTACTCATACATGTCATTTTCAGCAATAACTGATGCAACAACATGAGAGGAAGATTGTAGTTGCAAAAGCCCTTAAAGGCATCAGCTTGTGACTCAGAAACATTTGTCATTGTAATGCTGCTTCAGAAAATTGCTCCAAAGTTCACTGAGCAAATAGACATTACTATTCATCATACCGTTGTATTGAAAAGGTAAAACTGTCATCTCAAATAAATGCTTCTATATTATTCTGAATGGGTTATACATGTGCTGCAGTTTGTTCCTTGTTCTCTTGTTGACTGAAATATCATGCACTCTTACTATGATGTTACTCATTGTTGATGTGATACTTTGAGTAAGAAAAAGCCTGTGGATGCAAGAGCTATAAAGGTCAGGTAGACCAGGTGAGTACCTGGATTAGCTGATATTAGTTGAACTATTTAGGTACTAGTGTCAGGAATCCGAGCCAGTCTCCTAAAAAATGCAGCTGGCCTATAATAGGCTGCCTGATTGGCTACACTGCCTGCCTGATAAGAAGGGTCAGCAAACTGGTTCTTAATCCCAGCAGCAGTTTAGCTGCTGCTCAAAATGCTTGCACACAGCTGCAGTAGCTCCTTGTTCCCAGTCTTGCCCGTCTTGTCTCACTTCAGGTAATCCAATGCTTACCCTTGGCTCTGATTTCTGGCTTCAGATCAGGCCTCTGACTCTGGGTTCTGACTCCAGCTATGAGCATTGGCTCAGGAGTCTGGCCTGTGACTCCGACTCTAACACTAATGACCAATAACTCCTGCTCCAACCACTAGGCACTACTGCCCACATCCTGGTGACTGATAATAAGGTAGATGAGCATGAAAACAATAAATGATCATTTTATTTTTCAAGGCCAACATTTTCAATCTTGAGTGCCTGAACTAAGCCACCTTAATGACTCCTATAGATTTAGGAACTAAATGAAGGCATCCATGTCTGAATATTCTTGACAATTTGAAAAGTGCCTCCCCCACTAAGACATGCAGATATGCACAGAGCATTAACATACAAAAAATGGGAAACTATTTACAATAACAATAAAGTAGCCTTTTCCAGTTAGTACAAAAATATTAAACCTAGATAATTGAACTCCAAACAATACAAACCGAAAGTCTTCAAATAACCAATAAAAAGGGCCAGTTTCTCAGTTATGGTCACGTTGTGCTCAGCATAGGCCCTGATGGAGGTGACAAACGTGGTTTGATGCCACTTTTGCACCTCTTCATATTCTCAGGCCAGCCAGGGCCCTGTTTAACCCTAGGTGTAAGTCAGAGCAGTCTCAGGGATACTCTAATTTACACTTGGCTGCCCTCAGCCCCAACAGGCTGTTCTGGCAGCTGACAATAGTGGAGTGCATCTAGCCATTCCCCCTTGACCCTGCCATGTCCTGGCTACATGTCCTAGGCTGTAGAGCTGTTACCAACCCTATGCCACATACAAAATCTACCTATGCTAGATATTCGCTAGGGGTTAGGGCTCCCTACTTTTACACTGGCATAAAGGGGCTGTAACGTAGCTGACAATCTGGGCCATAATCTCTTTTTCAGATACTGTAGGGATGAGCACATGATAGATACATAGGGAAGTGCTTGCATTGTACCTTCAAGTACCACTTTGACAATGGAATCAATCCACTGTAACTCTAAGCAATAACCACATTGTCTTAAATCAGCATACACAGTACATCGCTCTTTAATTTACATTTTTTTCTTTTTCAAGATTGTGGTAAGTGAAGCAACAACAAAAGTACCAGGTAGGTGAACACTGATGGAATCATTTTTTAAGAGGGATAGTAATTGTGTTACTGTTCAGGCAAAGTTCCTTTTACACTTTTAAGTCACTGCTGACTCAAGTGAGGCTCTGAAGGCAATGAAGTCAGTGGGAATTTTGATGCAGTAAGGATTGAGTTGAAATCCCAAGAAGTTCAGTGGGCTGGGCATGTAGTTACGATGACAGAAGACAGGCCAGCTAAGCCTCTCGTGGGAGGACAACCTTAGGGTATCCATCCTTGTGGCCAGCCAATGAGAACATGGATGAATAATATTGCGCAAGACCTAAGAGCTCTTTATGTGCATTACCATCCATGGGGAAAATACGGCATTGACGACAGAGGTGGGGGCAAATTGTGACAATGGCCAAGGACCTCCATGGTCTATAAAGCCAAGTGTAGTAGGAAGAAAGCCTGAGATATAAGCCCTTGTATGAGGCCTGACCTAAAGTAGTGGGCAAGCTTTGCTAATATAAAGCAAAGTTAGCAAAAATTAGGCTTAAGCAAATGTCAGGCTCTGCCTGCTTGCAAGTTTACAGAATCTGGCAAGAACAGGGCTGATATTGCAGAAACACACATTTTTAAGAAGTGCGAGGCACAAAGTACTTACGCAAACAAATTTCAGAAGAGTGGTAACAAAACATCGCGATATAAAGGATGGTACAAAAACATTCCCCCAGGATAACAGGAACACACTGACCCCTTCTAAAAGATAAGGTTAGCATAACAGTGTGATAAATAAAAATGCTTTAATTAAACCATGTTAATAAAAATGTTTTAATTAAACTAGTTATTAACCAAAAAAATGGGTAATAACTAGCCACGTCAGGGGGCAGTAACTAACTATGTCAGAAGGGCAGTACATAACTGGTTTGTATCAGCGTATATAAAGGTATCTCTAAGAGAGTGTCTTGGTCCAGCCAAGTGGGGAATGGAAAGTCCCGCCATTCATTGAACTGCATCCATTGTCACAGACGTACATGTCTTAGTATCCTCGTAGAGTCTGCCAGGTGCTATTACCATGCTTTGTCAACAATAAACCTGGCTGGGCACCTTCGTACCTTAATGGATCTTGTGGTCATTGGGTGGTTCGCTCGAGGTCTGCTGTGCCAGCTGTCTGTGCAGAGCTGGGGCAGCACACAGGAAAAACACACACACGCAGCCAAACATGTAACCACACTGGTAACTCCTGACTACTGATTTGGTATGTAAGCTAGCTGTCCTCTGTAAAAATCGCAATCTAGCATAACGAAAAACTACAAGCCAGAAAAGCCCCTTAACCCCTCCCTGCAAATCCCCACAGAGTGTAATAAGGTATGAACGTGCTGGGTTGCTAGCAAAAAAGGTCCATATAAATTTAAAAAATATAGTGGAAAAAAACATAAAATAAAGTCTGTAAGGCTAGGGCAAAAAATGTAGCCTTAAAATGTAAAACATTGCAAACTATAACCATGGCTGTTAAATGGTTCAAACAACATGTCACAAAATTGGCGGGGCAAGTAACAAAAACAAGTTAAAAAAAGCAAAAAAATCTACAAAGCCCTAAAATGCTCCTACTCTCCTAGCATGGCGGCAAGCAGTTCAAAACCAGCAAGCACGAAAACAAAATAAAACATTAAAGACAGCTGTAAAAAACCTACAAAAAATGTGCCGTCCCCTGTTATAAATATTTGTGGTCAACAGCAGGCTTCAGGTAGCACATCTAACCACACCAGGGATTGAGTATCTAAGTAAAGTCTGAGTTAAAAAGTGAATAAAGACTTCAGGATTTGATCCACAGAGTATTTTGCCTATATAAGGGCTGAGAACACCTGTGCACATTCTCCCAGCTTTGGTTCATATGTTGTATTTTAAAAAAAGAGGAAATTAATGTGAATAACTTTATTAATGCAATATTGTGATTGAAACTTTACCTATGAGTGAGAAAATACTCTATTAGAGCATACAGTACAAGCTGACACCATATACGGTGACACAAAATAATATGTATGTACAATGGGGCCAAGTTACAGTTGCTGGGGAATCCATAAATTATCCAGAATGTTGAATTGACTAATTTGTGTGGGTATGAAATACCAACCAGAGTGTTTAATCCATGTAGTGTTTTGCATTTAATAGCTTTCTGGGAGACAGCCACTGATTGCAGTTCCCATGCCAACTGCAGGATTGTGACACATTTGCAGGCTGATGATGTCATAAAATGCCTGCTGGAATATAGCTAAAGCATCTGCAGATTGTTTTTTAAAACTAACTTCTGGCCAGAGCTTGCAAGACAATTTTTTCCCACACGAGTGCAAGTTATCAAAAGTTGTACTCGTACGTTAATATGGTTTAAAGCTTTAAGATGTCTTTGTGCTGTCGCTTTTTGGAAGATGCCAAGCGAGATTTGAGAAAGGCAGATAGAGAAATAAGGAGACAGATGAGGCTGATGGACCTGCATCCACATTACCTATGTGATATACACCTGCATCCACACTGCTTGTGTGATATACACCTGCATCCACACTGTGGGTGTGAAATACACCCGTATCCACATTGCCTGTGTGCTATACACCCACACTGCCATCCACCATCATGCCTCACAGTTTGGGAGAGGAAAGCCATTAAAGCAAAACTGGAGGCAGAGCGAGAAATGGACAGGTAAATGAGCTTATTTATTAGCCTTCTATAGCCAGTAGTACTCTTTAAATTGAATTAAAGAAAGGAATTTGACAGCTGAGTTTTGAGTAAAGTGGAAATGGGTAAACAGGATAATAGACAAAGCTCAACTTCAGGGAAATGTAGGAACTGTAAGAGTTTGTAAAAAACTGTAATGATGTAGTCTAGAAGGTATGGAGGTAATTATATAAGCAGTGCCTGAGTGTTAAATATTGTAGTCTTACTATGGAAAAGAAATAGGATATCATTTAAAAATATTTAAGGCAACAAATTAAATGTCAGACTACATGTAAAACTAAATGAGAATACATAGATCTAGTCTTGGGCTAGATTCCGATCTTACTGTAAACCCAGAGTAACTCAATCTATTAAGAGCTGGGTATTTTTTATTATGAAATTGAATTCAATGGAGCTCCAGATTTACACTGGTATAGAGGGAATCAGAATCTAGTTCTAAATGAAAAGCTGTGATAAATGATAAAATACTTGTCATTTGAATTAAGGGTTAATGAGCAATCCGAAACCAGAAGGGATAAAAAATCCTTTGCTAGTGAGACAGAATCATATTCATTAAGAGGTGGGGACTTTGGTAGTTTTTACTTAATACATTATTTGAATATATCTTATTTAACTGCAGTTTTTCCCCCTACACAAAATTTAAACTTCTGTTAAATATTGTGCTTGGAGGTGAGGTTTTGATTTTGCCAGTTAAAAATGTGATGCTGTCAGTACACACTAAGGATTGAATATTGGCTTATATTTTCTGCTGTGCTTAGTTTCCACTGGATGTGACAGAGCTGGAGGAGAGGGAAGCCCCTGGGAGCTGTATAGTGATCCTTGATCTCTGGGTTGGGTTTTACACTAACCCTAGCAGAAGTGAGAGCAGCCTAGGGGCTGCTCTAAATTCTCTCCATTGTAACAGCTCCTCCATCTTAGAATAGCTGTAGTGCAGTCACAGCCCCTTTACCCGTCATATGCCAAAGGCTGCAGGAGGAGGTGGAGGAGGTGCTGGTACATGAAGAGACTCTGGATTTTCATCACCTGAATTCAAGTCAGAATTTAATGCATAACTTCAAAATTTGAAGTTGCTACTCATGCAAAACCCGGTGAAGTTAATGAAAGGTTTGCCTGAGTAAAAATAGATTGAGGGCTTCAGGATCTGGGCCAATAACTTCAGTGAGAGTTTTGCCCAAGTATCAGGTCCATAGTGTAATCCTTGCCACCCTGTTTCTGAAATTGGCTACATTTTCCTTATGCATCTGCTTGCACTGCTCTGACTACAGTCACGAGAGAAGAATTTCAGCCTACAAGTCTAGAAAAATCAAATATCATCCTCTCTCAAAGAACACTGAAACTCATATGGATGCTGTAAGTTTCCAATCATATCACTCCTTTTCTACAACATTTATTCACCTAAGATTAAGTCTCCTTAAGTGATTGAATAGAAAGTCCAAGGAGGGAGCAGCACAGAATTCATGAACTCTCACAAAGGAAGAAAAATATAATTCTAAATGTTGTGCTAAATTGAATCATCTTAGTTTTGTATAATAGGAATAATATTCCTGGAACTGGACTATACTGGTAATAAACTGCTAAACTCATCTGACTTGCTGTGTCTAGTTTATCATTTATTGTCCTATATACTCCTACATCACACATATTATCTATTGAATTTGGTAACTTATGTCCCATTCAGTCTGTTATAATTGAGACTGGGACCTTCTATTGGATATTTTGCAAATGGTTCGAATGAGAGTCATGTTTTTGGTTTATTATAGTGTCATTTCACATTGTAAAATGTTATTTTAATGGCCCAATTAGCCACCATCCTAGCTCTGCAAAGGAGACATTTAATTTTGTGTGTGCATGTCAAAAGTATCTCTTATGTATAGATCACATTTAACAAAATTTCTCATTTGAAAATGTAATTAATTATAACCATTAATTTGAAAATTTGGGATGATTTGTAAAGTGGACATGCATTGGTGTCTATTGGCTAATGAGGAGTGCTGGCTGTTGTGTGTTTAGGGTGACAGAACTCTTCATCTTCACAGTTGTCTCATCCTAAGAACACACAAACCCTTGATTACCAAAGCACATGGATGTTTGTTCATTGATGGTGTAGCCAATTCAACAAGTAATGTGCATCAAAATATGCACCTATCTGCATTAATATATGAGAATACACCCTACACTTTGATTTACTTTTTTGTCATCAAATAAATATGTTCTTATTCCATGCTGTATACTCAATTCATCTTAACTCTGTTCTTGTTTTTTTACTTTTTGAAACTTTTTATTAAGGCAATGTTACAATAAAACGATAACAATACTACATCATATATTACTTATTCAAATAACCTGGTAAAGATTTTGGTTTGCTGGGTGGGGAGCCCACCTCTCTTGAGTATGCTAGAAAGGATGACCAAATTTCTAAATAACTATTCTCTTTTTAGTGCTCCTCTTGTGTACATATTTGAGGTTTTCTATTACACATATTTTTCTATACCACAATTCCATAGGAGGAGGGTGTGGGGGGGGGGGGTCACATTTGTAATAATGTGGCATACAAAGTTAGCTGCTAACAATAAAAAAGAAATTAATTTGTCATTTTGTTTAAAGTGTAGATCCTTTAGTGGAGTATTAAGTAACCAAATCAGGGGATCTCCAGGAAGCCATCATTTTGTCATAACATGAATCTCTTTAATAATTTCCTCCCAAAACCATCTAATTCCTGCATACAACCACCACATGTACAAGCATATTCCTCTTTCCCCACAAGCCTTCCAACAGAGTGCCTCTCTAGTAGCAAAAATATGATGGATCTTACCTGGTGTCAAATGCCATCTATACAGTAATTTATTTAAAAATTCTTTATGTGCTGCACAAATTGAAGATGTTTATCCCATTTCCCACATAGAGACCCACTCATCCGGATCAATTTCTTTGTCCCAATCTCTCTCCCATCTTTTCATCTTGATTGTTTTCTTATCAAGATCTTTTTCAAACAAAATTATAGATATCTTAGAAATTGAACCTTTTGTTCCAGCTTACTCCTAGATCAACTCCTCAAATGTGGTTAAAGGTCTAGATAAAGCTGCCTCATATCCATATTTGACAATACAATATTTTACTTGTAAATATTGAAAATATGGGATCTTTATATTATTTACATTATTATATACCTCTTGGTATGATTTCAAACCAGGACCCAGGCACAGATGTCTGAATTAAGTAATCTCAGCTCTTACCCACAACAAAGAATCACTTTGATACTTCCTAGAGATAAATTCCTGATTATTAATGAAAGTAGCTAAGGCTGGGTCTACACTATAGCGGGGGTCCGACCTAAGATACGCAACTTCAGCTACGTGAATACCGCAGCTGAAGTTGCGTATTTTAGGTCGACTTACCTGGCTGTGAGGACGGGGGAAAGTCGACCGCTGCCGCGCTGCCGCCGACTTCGCTGCCGCTTCTTGCCGCGGTGGATTTCCGGAGTCGACGGCAGAGCGATCAGGGATCGATTTTATCGCGTCTTCACTAGACGCGATAAGTCGATCCCAGAACATCGATTCCCTGCCGCCGGACCCTCCGGTAAGTGTAGATGTACCCTAAGAGAGAGGACCTCAGCAACAGGAATTTCAAAAATTTGTCCAAAGCTTCTAGGGTGGTCTGGATGAATGGGTGGCTTTTTATTTTTGGTGACCTAAATTTCTTTTCTTGTTTTTATTTTTTTTATTACAGCATCCGAAGAAGAGTTAATAGGATGTTGAACTCATGCCATGACCATAAGCTTTTAGCTCTGATGGATGTTAAGGGGTTTGACCCAGAGGAAGTTACAGTGAAGGTGAAAGACGGGAAGGTTAAAGTATCAGCTGAACATGAGGAGGAGCATAGGACCCTAAGAGGGAAGGAATACAACTACACAAATCTTACCAAGGAGATCAGCTTGCCTCCAGGGGTGAATGAAGAGGAGGTGATGTACACTGTAGGACCTAACAGTTTGGTGAAGATTGAAACTCCACGCAAGTGTTTCCCTTGCCTCCTGAGTCTAATTTGAAGACAGTGGACTCTGAGCAGCAGTAGTACTGTACATGTACATAGTACAAGCAACTCCTCCGGTGTTTTTTAACTCTACCTTTTAAGCATAAGTTGGCAACTGTTCTGACCAGTTTAGAAACAAACGATAGTGCTGCAAAACTACTTGTTTGAGTGCAAGTCTTTTGGTTTCATTTTGAAGGGTTTCTTGTCACTTTGTCAGCAGTCAAAAGAAATAGGGACATTATCCAATATAAAGATAAAAAATGGTTAGAAATACTAAACTATGGTAACTTGTTAGGTAATAAAAGACCCACATAGGTGTAGCGTAATTCCAGAAGCTGGCATTGCCACTGCTCATTGTTTCAGAGATTAAGCCTAGAAGGGCATTATGATCATCTAGTCTGATCTTCTCCATAACACAGGCCATAGAATTTCACCCAATAATTCCTCCATCAAGGCCATAATTTCTGTTTGAGTTATAGCATATCTTTTAGAAAAACATGCAGTCTTGATTTAAAAGCATCAAGTGATGGGAAATTCACCATATCCCTAGGTAAGTTGTTCCAATGGCTAATTTTAATGGTTATTTCTAGTCTGAATATGTGTAGCTTCAGCTTCCAACCTATGGATCTCATTATGCCTTTTTCTGCTAAAAAGCCATCTACTAACAGAAATCTTTTCACTACAGAGGTGATCAAGTCACCTCTTAGCTTCCTTTTGGGTAAACTAAATAGACAGTTTCCTAAGTTTCTTACTATAAGGCATATTTTCCAGACCTTGAATCATTCTTATATCTCTTTCTTGAACCCTTTCCAATTTGTCAGCATCATTTTTGAAGTGTGGACGCAAGACATGGACACAGTGTTCCACTAATGGTCTCACTAATACCACTTCTCCACTGTTCATGCTGTACTTGATACGTTCTCCATTCTACAGCACTGTCGTCAACTGCCTTTGCATTACATTCGCTACGAAAGGGGGTGAAATAAAATAGTCAGTTCCATTCAGACATTTACTGGGCATTATGGACATGAATATTTATATACTTTAGTTTTCTAGGTTATACCATATGCGAATCCGTATATTTTTGGGAGCACAAATAAACAAAAACTAGGATGAGTTGCAAATTTTCTATTGAAATTGTTTCCATTGAAAGAGGAGAAAAAGTGGTGCATTCAAAATCGTGCTGTGATGCCTTATTGGGGTTGTAGTTTTAGGTGCTTTATGTCCATCTTCCATGATGCACCACTTTCTCCTCTCGTGGTGGGAGTGTACCCACTGGACTCCCTGACCATGGTTCAGCATGGGAGATGTAGGCCAGTTAGAGAGCCGAGCCCATACAGGAAAATGGGAGTATAAGGCACAGAACTACAACTCCAATGAGGCATTGCAATGCCCTTTTAGGGCCACAAGAGTCTCACAGACAGAATGCCCAAGGAATTGATGCATTTCCTAGATGACATGGTCCTGCCCCTCCCTGGCCAGCTCCACCCTCTTTCTGGGTTGTGCCAGATGGATCTGGACTGCCTCAGCAGAAGAGAACTTGTAAGCAGTTTGTGCCACCGTTCCCCTGCTCCTGGCAGACTTTCTGCGACCAGAGACCTTCAGCCTGGTTTCCACCAGCAGAAGTGAATGATACTTCCTTGCTTCACAGGTGTGTTGTGGGGGTTTGTGTTTGTAAAGCACCTTGACTAGAGCTGAGCAAAAATTTTAGATTTTTTTTTTTGGCCAAAAAATGCATGTTCAGATTGTTCGAAACATTTCATTTCACAAATTCATTTAGAATTTGCCTAATTGGTTCAACTGAAAAAGATCAGAACATTTTATTTCAACATTTTCAAATTGAAACATTTTGATTTTTCAATTCACAATGACTTTTCTTTTTGAATTTTACTGCCATTTTATTTTTTATAAAAAGTAAAAAAACTTGAGAACCAAAACATTTTGGGTTGAACAAAATGTGTCGATCAACCCCAAAACAATTTTTTTTGACTTAGTTTCATCAAAAATTTGAAAAATGTTATCTTCGGGTTAACCTGGAAGGAATTTCTATTTTTTGGTTCAGTCACTAAATCACAAAATTGGTTATTTGCACAGCTCTCTCTTTGGTATCGCCACACATGCAGGCTTTACTCATGGTTAGGTGACACAATGCTGCACACAACTTGTCCTTGTCTACACTGTCCCAAAAGTCATGGTCAGTATCCTGTCAGCTAACTCGATTCTTTACTGCTGTGTTCAAACAAGGCAAAGTTCTGTAAGGAAGACAAGACCTCCATGACAGATTCACCCACCTCAGCCAGGCATGAGGGATCCTGGATAGTGTGTATGTGTAAATCAGCCCTAATCTGCCCTCTCTGACAGCAGCAGACCCAGAACTGCCAAGAGCAGGACCGCTCCAGGGTTTTTGCCGCCCCAAGCAGCCAAAAAAAAAAAAAAAGTCACGATTGCAATCTGCGGCACTTCTGCCGCGACTCTACCGCCACCGCTTCTTCGGCGGCAATTCAGTGGCAGGTCCTTCCCGCCGAGAGGGAGTGAGGGACCCACTGCCAAATTGCCGTGGAAGAGCCGGACGTGCCGCCCCCCTCCATGTGCCGCCCCAAGCACCAGCTTGCTAGGCTGGTGCCTGGAGCCGGCCCTGGCCAAGAGGGATTGTTGATGAATGCTCTCAGCTCTGCAGGTACAGGAGCAGCGAGCCTAGCTCTCAATACCAGGATCACTGTACCAGCTACTAAGCTCCCTACCCTATGAGGGAGGGGCTGTTTCCCTCTTCACCTCCCTCCTGCTGGCTTACTGCATTTTCACGGGGGGTGGGGATGCTAAGCTGCTGTCCTCCTTGCCACCTTCAACTTGTCTTTTCCAGTTGGGGTGTTTTGGTTGGTTAGCTCCCAGTACTAAAAGAATGGGGAGAGAACAATGCTCCAGGTCAGCCTGATTGACAGGGCGGGCAGGCTAATCAGGGAGTTAGGAGGCCAGGGTGGGTCCCGTCCTCCGTGTGAGCTGGAATTGCCTGGGTATGACAGAGTGGGGCTGAGCTAAGGAGAAAGCAGGGGCGCAAGCTGAGCTGGGGAGCAGAGCCGTGCCAGCCAGAGGGGCCAGAAAAGCTGCCAGCCCAGGAAGCAGGTCAGAGCTGGGAGCAGAGTCATGGAAGCAGCCCACAGGGCAGACCTGTGCTGGGAGGAGAGCTGCAGCCACAGAGCCAGAGACACAGCCCAGGGAGAGCAGATCCTCTGCTGGGAGCAGAGCTGCAGCCACAGAGCCAGAGGAGCCAGAGAAGCAGCCCAGGGGGCTGGAGGCAGAGCAGCAGCATCAGTGCTGAGGCAGAGTGGAGTCGGAACTAGAACAGTGGAGCTGGGGCTGGAGCTGGACCAGTCTGAAGCTGGGTGCGGTGAGCAACTGGGGCCAGCCAAGGTGGGACCCCCTGGGCAAAGGGCCCAGCGCAGAAAGACACCCCCAGCCAAGGGTCCTTGCAGGCCAGATGGGGAGGGGCATCTTAACCCGATGAGGGGCTGATGCTGGGAAGAAGGGTCCCACCACCCAAAGCCCGGAGGTGTGTGGCCACCACCAGAGCAAGTGTCTAACCCACAGCATCCCTGCAGCGCAGCCAGGGCCTGAGAAGGAGGCCTGGGACCTACAAGGAACAAACTGTGAACTGCCCTGACATTCCAGAGACCCTGTTTGTGATGTTCCCTGCCACAGAGCAGGGTGATGTGTTTCCTTTAACCTTTCCCATTTTCCCTTATTCTTTTTTAAAATTAATTAATTAATTAATTAATTAAATAACTTGTATTTACTTTAAATTGTATGTAATGATCAGTGGGTCAGGGAAGTGTCCAGTGCAGAGAGAGCACCCCGGAGTGGGGACACCCTAGCCTCTGTCCTAGGTGACCACAGCAGGGTTGGGGGGTCGAGCCCCCCAGGAATCCTGGGCCCAGCCTTGTCGGGGTTATGAGGACTCTGCCAGACAGGAGAGTGGAAGGGGAATCCTCAAGGGCAGGGAGGCCTCTGGGTAAAGGAAGTTGGAGCGAGGACTCAGATCCTTCCGCTAGCCCATTTCACCAGGGTAGTGCAGAAGCCAGGAAAGTTCCCCACAATAGTGGGACCATTCCCCCACTTACACTCAGATTACTAGCTTCTTGGGAGCGGAGGTGCACAGGTCTCCTCAGCCATCACCCCCAAGCTATTTCTGATCCTCTGGCCCTCCCTCGTTTTTTTTTCCACATGGGGCTCTTTACTACACCTAGCAGGTTCATTGAGGGGGGGATGCAGGTAGCTCCCCATATCTAGGCCCCATAAGACTGTGGGGGCCTTTGAAACAGCAGCAGGAGATTCCGCATACAGTCAGTTGTGGCGGCCCTATCAGCCACATTGACTCATAGTCTTTAAGGTCAGAAGGGACCATCATGATCATCTAGTCTGACCTCCTGCACTTTGCAGGCCACAGAATCTCACCCACCCACTCCTGTGATAGACCCATAACCTCTGGCTGAGTTACTGAAGTCCTCAAATAATGATTTAAAGACTTCAAGTTACAGAGAATCCACCCTTTACACTAGTTTAAATCTGCAAGTGACCCCTGCCCCATGCTGCAGACAAAGGCAAAAACCCCCGAGTCTCTGCCAATCTGACCTGGGGAAATTTCCTTCACGACCCCAAATATGGCGATTAGTTAGACCTTGAGCATGTGAGCAAGACCCACTAGATAGACACCTGGGAAAGAATTCTCTGTAGTAAGTCAGAGCCTGCCCCATCTAGTATCCCATCACCAGCCGTTGGAGATATTGCTGCTAGCAGTCGCAGATCAGCTACATTCCATTGTAGGCAGTCTCATCATACCATCCCTTCCATAAATTTATCAAGCTCAGGCTTGAAGCCAGTTAGTTTTTTTGCCCCCTTGGCTGTTGATGATGCAGGAGGCTACTTGGTGAGATTTTCACGTGCTCTCAGGAAGAAAAAGGAGAGAGGGAGTCTGACAACATCATTCTCCCTGCCTCACATTTTACAAAAAGTAACACTCTA